TATGCAAATGAAAATCAGCACTAACTGTTCTCCCCTTGTTATATACTTTGGATTTTTTTTCCAGACAAAACAATCACACTCGGCAAAGGGAGGGGGCGGATGGGGTGGGGCTGGGTGGGGGGAGGCTGGGGAGCTCGGGAGAACTAAGTACGCGGAAAGGGGGGAGGACGAAGGGGACAGACCTCGGAACAGAAGTGTATTTCTGTTATCGAGGAGCACAGCGTTTTGGGGGGCTTCCCATATGCACACACACCCTCCTTGAAAAGAAAGAAAGTGGATCTGTTTGCAGAGGCGCTATCACGTTTCATCAGGCCACCTGAGACTGCCTTTGAAAGCGTGTACTGTGAAATTCATAGCAGTAATTTAGACAAAATCCTCACTGTATATTAATGAAAGGCGGCCCCATGGCTCTGTTCCTATCCTCCCCATTCAGTGTAAACAAAACCACGAGACTCGCTCGGTTTTTGAGCCGGATCCAAGCAAAATCGGCAGGAAAGGAAAACACGGGGTGCTGGCACCGACTATTCAAACGTCTGCACCTGGAGATCTCAGATTTATTCAATGAAATCTGTGTTCCATCTTTTATATATACATACACACATACATAAATATAAAAAAGGAACGTTAGGGGGACGTAGAGGGGGGAAAATCCGTTGTGTTTGGGGTTTGGTTACCGCTGCCTTTCAGATCTGTACCTTAGCAATAATGGCTTTGCTAAAAACCTACCTACGGCGGTATCTCTCACCCGGCAATCAGGAGCTGGACGAGATCCTACAGAAATCCTACGCGTCTACTGTTAATCTTGAGATCATGCAAAGGCGTAGCTTGAGGCTGGGCTGGAGAGCTCTGGCTTTAACTGAGTTCACCTAACTGCGTTCAGCCAGAGGAATTATTCATCGGGAGAGGGCAGTCCCGTTCACAGCTTAATCGGAGCACACCGGCGGCTCCGCATCTACCTCCAGGGCCGCCGCTCGGCGGCGGGCGCCGCTGGAGCTCAGGACTGCCGGCTGCAGGAGCAGGCTGGGGGCGGTGGGCTCAGGGCCCGCGCACCCGCAGCCAGGGGTGCGGGGCGCACGCCCACGCACACTCATTAGGAACGATGTATTTATTGAATGTCCGAGTTGGGTTAGTTCATTGGAAATCCCCGAGGAGGGTTCAATTTGCCCTTGTTTTCGTTGCCACTTTCTCTTTTTTCTTGGTTCGCTGAGGTTCCTCTGTGCAGCGTTTCCGCTTGGCCGCGTCCCCCCACCCCCGCTTCTCCCGCCTACCCTGCGCGCGCCCCCTCCCGTCCCCCTTAACTCTTTCAGCCTGGTTGGGGCTGAGAAAGCGTTTGTCGCCGCCAGCCCATCCACTACGCAAACCCATCTGAAACAGAAAAGAAAGAAAAAGCACCACTGTGTCTAAGAATAGCGAGCAAGCAAAACACCACTAATAACCATAGAGGAAGAAAAAATATATATA